GATTCAGTGCGCTTCCCTCACAATGCAGCCTTCCATATTACGCACTCACCATTGACTGTATCTGTCCAAAAGTCCAAAAATGTCGATCTTACTCAGTCTCAATATCTTTCTCCCAGCACTAGTTTCTGCTTTCCTTCGGGGCGGCCTCTCTTCTTCTATTTACGATAATTGAATATTGACTTATCGTATCGTATCGTATCGCTACCACTGACCCCAGCAAACTATAACTCGGGGAAATGATCCATCACACTTTCCTTGGAGGCAGATATTAATATTTCCTTTCACTTGATTGAATATTCGTGAGAAGAGCTTCTTGGTCGTCCTTGACACCATAAAGTGAGAAAACTGATTGAGTTAGGAAGATAGTAGATACTCATCTTGTATCTGGTCTGTCGCCTATAGTTGAATAGTAGATAGGATACCGGTATGGGAATAAAATTAATTGAAACAAACATTTCATGTGAATGTTATCCGAAAGCCTTAAAATTCTTCTTGATTTCTGATAGGCAGTAGTAGAGACTCATATCGTGTCTGTTCGAGATTTTTTACCTAAACCTGAATGAATTTTATTTTCATCTTTTTACTAACTGTAAAGAAACAGTTTGACGGATCATCTCGCAAAACTAGTCAATCAAGTCCTTATTGAGTTCCATCAAATAGCTTTTAAATGTTTAATATCGTTTTTTTAGAAAACATCGATTAAAGGTCAAATTGAGCACAACATACCCAAATAATACCCTTATCCAATTTCCAATTTCATTGTCAAACGATTCAGAATGACTTCAAACATAAGATTTTCTGGCAAACAAATAAATTACTCCTTCGCGAAATTAAAAATAATTCGAATCTGTTCTTAGTTTTCAATCAATTTCTGAGTTATAAATAGAATTTTCTTCCAACGCGAATCCAAACAGTTCTATTTATAGAGACTTTTATATTTCTAGATGTAAATTCTTTCGTTTATGTATAACAAAATCTCGTCGGAAAGTCCGACTTTTCCGTTCTTTTCGAAATGTAACAAGTAGGTGGGTACATACATACGTAAAAGGTTTTCTCTTTTGAAGTTTCTAGCGATTATTCGACCCATTGAACGGTTAAATTCAACGTTCCAAACGAAATATGTATAAAGTAGAAATGTGGCCTCGTAAAATACTAAACGTGCCTGAAATATTCGGAAAACACTCGCAAATAAAATTTATTTGTGAATAATAAAATTATTTAATAGAAGTTTATATTGGTAAAGAATAAAAATTTAATATTTTTACAACATTTCTTCAAATAACAAGTAAAAAAATGAATAAAGTTAGCTTAAAATCGGTCTAATATATTGTACAAGTTTGGAATTAAATATTCGGGATATTTTTCTACATTTATTTAATTATCTAGAAATCTTTGTTCCGTACACTCTTTTCAATTAAGCTTAGCAGAAACTAGATAAAATTCACAACAATTACATATAAATTGTTTTACATAACCCCATACAAAAAAATCGAGTAAAAGTAGTTTGAACTTACACTTATATGTTGTGGCAATTTCCCATTCATGAACTTAGGGCCTTTTTTACATTTCTTCAAATAACTCAAAAATTTTGTTCGACACAGTATTTTTTAATTAGCTTAGCAAAAACTAGATAAAATTCACAACAGTTCTATATAAATTGTTTTAAATACCTCTATACAATTTTTTTTAAATAAACGTGTATAGTTTGCACGTTATACGCACTAATATATTGTGGTAATTTTCCATTCACGGATTCAAGATTCTTATAAATCATAGCAATTTGCATTTGAATTTAAAGATTCAGGAAATTTTTTTATTTTTTTTTTTAAATAACTCAAAAATTTTGTTCAACGCAGTCTAGTTAAGTTAACTTAGCAAAAACTAGATAAAATTCAAAACAATTCAAAATAAATTGTTTTATATACCCCCAAACAATTTTTTTAAATAAACGTGTATAGTTTGCACATTAAACTAAGGTGACCAAATTGCTGAATGCAAAATCTAAGGACAGCTTACAATTTCAAACTTTCATTTTCAATTTGACAAAAATTAGCAAAAATTATGAAAAAGAACTTCAGGACTGATTGGCAGAAAAGTTAACAAAATAATAAAAAGTTAATAAAAATTAATCAGAATTTTATACAAAGCTTAAAAGCGAAGAAAAAACATACATATTGAAAAATATTGGATAAAATATAAGTTATATTAACATATAATCGAATAATAAAGTCCTACCAAAAGTCAGTAGTTCTGATTAAAAGCAATCGATTTATTTAGAAAAACTGATTTTTACTATATATTTAAATAGTATTTGTTATTTTAAATCATTTTTAAGTTAGGGGGCATCCATCAATCACGTGAGCAAGTTTTTAAGGATTTTTAGACCTCTTCTTCCCCTTGGTGATAAATGGTAAAAATTAACCCCCCCCCTCCCCCAGACATTACATGTGTTTTTAGTTACGTGATAAAACTGTAAAATTTTTGATTTTTTTTGAAAATGTTTGATTTATTTAATAAAAATCAGTTAAAAAAATGAATATACGTGATATCTAACTATACCCCTCCCTTACCCACGTGATATTTCGTGATTTTTTTTTTATCAAAACCGCCCCTCCCTCCACCTAAAAATCTCACGTGTTTAATGGACGGTCACTTACTTGTTAGAATAAATCGCCTCCCCGTCCCGGATAACTACAAATTGCCATTCAGGCTTTGACATAAAAAAATATGGTCACCTGAATTATACGCACTTATACATATTGCAGGAATTTTTATAAATTTTTTAAAATATCTTGAAAACTTTGTTCAAGTCACTCTTTTTTAGAATACCTTAATAAGAAAATTTTAAATCAACCCCTCAATAAGTTCCATAATCCAAACTAACTATAACTTCTATAATCCAAAATAAAAGACCTTTCCATCTTAAATATCATTTTATTTTCTATAAATACACTTATCCATTAACAACATTATCCTCTCTATCTATCTATTCCTTCCTCAAACGTACATAGTCAGATGCACCTTCTGCAGCGGCTTCGACTGTTCCTGCCCAAAAGTCCTGACCGGCGGAAGCGCCCTTAACTTCCGTCCGTGCCTGCCGGTCTTCCTCTGCCAGAGACCGGAACGGGGCCGGTTGCCGAGCCACCTGTTCCGCTGGGCGGACCCGATCGGAGTCCTTCCGTGTTCGATGTTCGACAACCTGCCTTTGGTTGGGAGACAGATTAATATTCCTTCTTCGACGATTGATGATGAAAGGAGGAATGTGATCGTGAAGGGTAAATCTTATATATAAAAATGAATTGCAAACTGTGTTGGTAAGCGCATAACTCAACAACGCCTGGACCAATTTGGCCAATTCTTTTTTTTTAAATGTTCGTTGAAGTCCAAGGATGGTTCTTACGGCGAGAAAAAAACAAATAATCGTCGGAAAAACCCTAAAAACAGTCCTTTTCTTTTTCTTATACAAACGTTTTCTAACTAAAACGTATGGTCAATTTGAGCTTTATTGCTATTATATAAAGTTCATATTAAATTACAAGCACTCACTGTATATTCCTCCTGAACTATTATGCGGATTTTGATAGATCTTTCTTAAGTTTGTTAAGGAATTTTTTTAGGATGTATGTGATTTTTAAGTACTGGGATGTATGTGCAATATTATAGAAACAAATAGAAAAAATTGTAAAAAACGACAAGTCATAGTTTGCAATGAAAACAAATGAAAACTATCATCTGCCAAAAATTTCAATGCACTTATGAACCTAGACAACATTAGAATATGTATAATAAATTTATGATTATGAATACGAAAAATGAAATGTCTACATTATTATTGCCAAAAAGCAGCTGAGATGTGCCAGAAATTAAAATAATATAAAATACAGTATATGTATGGCAGATTGAATGATACACACATAAACAGGATATGAAAAATTAATTCACTTAAAATGTGAGGTGCCAATTTTTTGAGACCCCCCACTTCATCAGCTGTCAGTTTCTTCAATTTTCAACTTTTTTTTTAATTCTTGTTTTGTATTTCAATAATATTAAGAAACAAATGGTAAAAAATGGATAGTAAAAAGATTCATTGCTTTCTTTTACGACACTTTCAAAATGACCAAAAATTCATTGCTGTACACTAGAATATACCCTTAAGTTGAAAATCTTTAAATGAAAATGTTATGTGTATATTTTTTCCTCTTTTCATTTAATCAGTTGCTTGTAATTTTTCTATATTATATATTTATCTAGAACTAAACCTTGGGGTACATTTACGTGCTACAGTTAGTGGCGACTCTATGGAGTGCGCAGACAATTAAAATTGAAGTAACTTCTTTTATCCAACTAATGTGAAGTGGCAATGAATGTTTTTGCATTTTGATGCTTTGAGTTGCTATAAATCCTTTTTTATGATGAAGAAGGAAACGTTATGTGATGATTTTAAATAATAATTCATGATCAATTGCAATACCAATTGATAATGTTTGTTCTTTCATTTTCAGATTTTGATAATGTATATTCTTGCATTTTCATGTTTAGAGTTGCTATTATTCATTTTTTGGAAAGACTAATATTCCTGAGATGATGATGGAATATGATGAATAAAGATGATTATGAAGAAAAGTATTGGAAACTGAAGTTAAAATGTCCAATACATAAATTCTTATTGCATTTTGAGTTATTAGTAAGCCAAGCTGGTCTAAATACTTTAAAAGCTGTTTTTAAATCCATAGTCCTTTGTTTTTCTATTTATAAATAGTACTTTTTTATATTTAAACAAACATCAAGTTATTTGTAAGCGTTGCGAATTATATACTCAAACTTCTTTCTTATGTTTATACCTCTTTTACTTATGTTATTTTGTCAAAATTTATCAAATATTCCATTTCCGTTGGATTTTATACCACATTCTAATAAACTAAATGTACTCAGAGAAAATATGTATGTCTTCAATATGAATCTTATATAAATCTAATAAGAGTCTTTGAAAATCATGTGAATCTTATAAAGAATCTTTTATGACTCCAAAAGGACTGTACTCAGCTCTTGTTTACCTATTTCCAAAATGCTATAACGTATTTTTTTTAGAGTTTCAATACATAAATACAACTAAGTTTAAGTGGCATTTTGTCTGGAGGCAAGTTGCTTGAACTTGCCATATGTGTAAATAATGGACTAGACTAAATCAATAAATTAAGATTTAGGAACTTTTAAAATTGTGACGATGAAAATTTGAAATTTTGACACTGCTTGTTATTCCCAGCTTCAATAAATTTTTATAATTCAACCACTTTTCGTAGGCCTATAATATTTAAGGATGCTCGTCGAGACTATAAACCTCATCATCATAATTGTTTTATCAGAATCGTTTAAATTCTAAACCATGGATATAAAATATTATAGCTTCAAATAATTCATATATAAATTTCACCCCTTTTCATTTCCAAAATATAATACTACTTGTCAACGCAAAATACAATATTATCAAAATCTGAAATCAATAATGACATTCAAAATTCACAAAACACATAAATCCATTTCACAAAATTATGCTTTATTGATAAATTTCGCACTCTACAAATGAAAAGAAAAAAAAAACAAAAGCTTTTCAAAAATTCTCAATGATTTTAAACTTTTATTATGAGAAAGCGTAAACCCAAAGAAAATTTCTAGTAACTTTTTTGTGTATTATATTTTTTATATTAAAGATGGGGAACGTGCAGAGCAACAGGATACTCAAGCTCGAGAACATCGAAGAGCTGCAGGTAAACATAAAGGAAATATAATGGGATATATGTGTATGTGATACATGGAATTATTTTGAGGCAGTTATCGCCTCATCTGCTGAAGCAAATGAAGGAGATGGAGCGCAAAACTAAGGAGCAGCACAAGGAAGATGAATATTGGAAGCAGAGATTGGAACGATTGAAGCAGACTCATGAACGAGCTGAACAAATTCACGAGCTCAACGAAAAACTGGCCTTTGAGACGTATACCAAAAACATGAAGGTGATAATAATATTTATTGACTTAATTTTAGATAGTAGACAATTGGTTTTTTATCAAAATATCAATTCTTATTTATTAAATTGAATATTAACACGTATTCGGATGTTCAAGCAACTTGCCTTAAGGCAAAATTTACTATTATAATGTAATTTGCATCTGTAGCAAAATAATCAAGAGGAATGCGATAAGGATGCACCATGTGCTGGGCGTCGGGCAAGTGTTATTGATTGCTATAAAACTCATCCAAGAGAAACTATTCACTGTGCAGGTAAATGTATATATATATATATATATATATATATATATATTTATATATATATATATATATATATATATATATGCGCGTGTGTGTGAGTGCGGTGTATAATGTGTAATTCATTTATTCCAGGGGTGGTTCGTGATTTCCTAGAATGTATACAACGCAAAAAGAACAATGTAGTTGATGAAAATGATGAAAAAATCCCAGAAGAAGTTTGTTGACCAAGAACAATTTCACCTTATCATAATAGCTTGTCCACATATAGTAACCCAACAATATCAATTTTTACCCCGCATTTAAGAATAAGATGATTCATTTACACTTACCTACTGTAGCCATGCAAGTTTGTGGCAAAGAGAATTCTCTCTTCGATGGAACCTGAACAATAACATTATCTCCGACTTTTCTAAGAATGGTTCCAAAAGTACCAGCCGCGTGAATTAAACATCCACCTGTGCCAGGATATTTTTCAACACAGTGAACAATTGTGCCAACGGGTAAAGCACCCAGAGGATAAGCATCGCCTTCGTTTGCTCGAACTGTAAAGAAATATTGTGAAATCAATATGTGGTTTTTGGATACTTATTTAATACACTTGAATATATAATATATTATGGATATTTGCTGTAGTTTTGTGTTTATTATTTTAAGTAAAATTTGACTATAAGTACATGTTGAGTTAATTTTTTTTAATTATTTTAGTATGTGTTGAATAATGGAATTATTTTCTTTTAAAAATAAAACTGACAAATTACAAAATGAAAAAATAGAAATGAGTGTATAATGTTGTAATATTATTTTTTGCATAAATTACCTGGTATCCTAGGAATATGGCATGAAGTCTTAATTAAATCTCCAGCTTTCATATTCTCAGTTGCTAAAATATATTTTAATCGGTCACCAACAGCAACTAATGCTATATTAGCTGTTCGACAACCATCTTCCATAATCTGAAAATAAAAATTAGATAATAAATTAGTTGATATTATTTAAATTATATAATATAATTATACCTACAAATTATACAATAAAATTTTAATTTCGTAAGATTTACATGATTGTATATACATATTGATCTTGTTAGTAATAAAAAATCACAAAACTTCTTTTAAAGTTTATTTTACTACATTTAATTTAAATATTTCTCTAATAAATGTTTTGTATGCTATATATAAAAAAGAAATTAAAAGAGATTTGCTAGTTCTCTGTAAAATGATTATAACAATTTTAATTTAATGATACTAACCTGTATAACTTTCTCAATTTGTGGTGGTCCTTCTTTAGGGCCTACTCGTATCCAATCAATCCAATGATATTTCTGTTTAATTCCTCCTCCTATACCTTTTGCCACAACACGCCCTATAAAAAATAAAATAATCCGATTAATAATATAAAGCAATATATATAATGTAAAATTAGGCATGAGTTTTAGATTTGGAGCAGTTATGTTAGAAAAATTAAGAAGTTTTATATTAGTTGTCTGATGATTAAAAATTGATTTGCTCGATCACCTGTGTAATAGTAAAAGAAGCAAAAGGAAGTATTTTATATAAAAATTAAAGTTTTGATTAATCAATAGAGTCTATGATAAATCAATCTCTTATATATAATTTGTAACACATTGAGGTTATTTTAAAATTTTAAAAGTTTATTCTATTTTATATTTCTATTATACCTGTGACAGGATCTCTTCCAGCTAAATTAGTTACATCTAAAGGCTTCACAGTATATTTTTCAGGATAATGTACAATCCTTCGGTAACTTTTGCCATTTACACCAGGTTTTGGTTTTTCAACATATTTCCAAAGGGTTCGAACTAAATTTACACATACTACATTGAGACTTGAATTGAAATTTGTACTAATTTGTTTAAATAAAGAAACTGACATTTTTTAAATATTATATTAATATTTTATCATAATAACACAGGCACAGAAAATGAGTTAATATTTGTAGGTTATGTTTTTGACAGCAAGGACTTTTTATACGTCTTATGTGGCTAACTTCATTGTGGTTTGTTCGGAGGAATATTTAAATTCCAAAATTCTTAAATCTTACAATCATTTATAAATAAATATTCCACAATTGTTGTTGTTAAAATACATGAAATATTTTGCAGTACTCAAAATATTATACATAGAAGTAATATAATCGGTAAGATCATCTTTACGTATCACTATTTATTATTTGTCACATTTGAGGTTATGTTTTAGAAGCGTTAAGTAAAACTGAAATACAACTTTGTTTATCATAAAAATGGGCAAAACTAAAACAAATACCGAATCTCAAGATGTTTCCTTGGCCGATGTGACAATTAAAGAAGAGCAATTATCATATGAAGATAAATTAAAAAACGCCAGTATCATAGCACAACCTATGGCTCCCAAAAAACTCACAAAAAAGTGTTACAAACTAATTAAGAAAGCTTCTAAACAAAAAACGTTTCTACGAGCTGGTTTAAAAGATGTCCAGTCACGAATTCGCAAAGGAGAGACAGGCATTGTCATTTTTGCTGGAGATGTTACACCAGTTGAAATAATGTGCCATTTGCCGGGTGTTTGCGAAGAGAAAGATATTCCTTATACGTATACACCAAGTCGAAATGATCTTGGATCTGCTATGGGAATGAAAAGAGGTTCTCTCATGATTCTCGTACGAGAGCATCCGGATTATAAAGAATTATATGATGAATGCAAAGAAGAAATTAATGCGTTGGCAATACCTTTTTAATAATATAGTAATTAGATAAATAGAAAAGTATAAGTATTTTTATAATTTGAAATGTGTTCAGTATAGTAAATTACATTCTGAAGCAATGTAATATATTTTGTGCACATGTGGAAATAAATTTAAGTAATAAATTATTTACTTATGTCTTTTTTTATGCAATTATAGTGATATAAAAGAAAATTTTAAATTGTCTGTAATAGTAATAAATTATAATTTTAAATATATAGTTAGTTCACAGCTTTGTGCCATAATTAAGTAGATATATCAACCTCAATTCAAAAATACATTTTATTTTATTATTATTATCAATATTTGGAATTCAATACCTCATTTTTTTATATCAAAGTCAATATAAAACCTAGTGGTGCATGGTATTGTGCCTTAAAGCAAATTGCTGGAACTTTCCGTACCAAAAATTAACTTTTTAAAAAAAGATTTTAGAAAAGAAAGAAAAAAACAGATTTTTGAGAAATTTTAATCTTTTTTTTTAAGTTAATTTTTGGTATGAGAAGTTCCAGCAATTTGCCTTAAGGCACGATGCCAATCATACACTAATAGTTATTAATTTTTATCAAAGTTTGAAAAAAATTTTAATCTTTTTTAAAAAAAATAAATTTTTGGTACAGGAAAGTCCTGCAATTTGCCTTAAGGCACGATGCCATACATAACTAGTTATTATTATTTTCAAAAATTTAAAATGTCTTGAAAAACTAATTTTTTAAAAAAATTTAATCTTTTTTTAAAAAATTTACCTTTGGTACGGAAAGTTCCAGCAATTAGTTTACTAGTATTTACTAGTTATTAGTTTTTATCAACTAATAATTAAAATATCTCATTCCTTTCCAATAACTTTTTATTAAAATAAATTTTAACTTTAAAATGTTTATTCTCGTTTAACTTTTATATTAACTTATGTTAGCACTAGTGTTGCACCAATACTTACAGGCACTATTTAATAATTCAACATATTTTGTAAAATATTTCATAAATTGAATTAGTACAACTAATCTAAATATATGTAATGAATTTTTGAGAAAGTAACAGCTATATATGCGTTAGATTTATATATATTTTTCTGAAATAATACTTATATACCTTTGAATCATCGGGTTGAATATTAGTCTGGTGCATTCAGTAAGGACTGGGAATCACACATAACATCTTCTCTCAAACTGGTACTCAAAGCGATCAAATCAGACAACCGAGAATCATCGCTTTTGCTGAATGGAAAGAACGAGTTCACAGTAGAATAATCTGTGGTTTTATGTCCATTTTCTGTTTTATAAGACTCTCCAGTAGCCAAAGTGCTATACATTTCGTTAATATTCCCAACCAGTATTCTATTTTGTATATCTATTTGTACTTTTCCACCACTTTTTATCTCCAAAATTGGCATAAATCTAAAATAGCACTGAGACCATATTTCTAAATTTGTTATCGTATGGCTCACCCTAATTCTGTTTTCTAACATCTGAGCCATTGCTTGGTTTATAATTTTTTTATCTCTATTAACTGGTTTTGGTGGTACTGGAGGTGGTACTTTGGAAACTTTCATCGGGCTTAGCATAGATAGTCCTCCGAATCTCATATCCAAATGTTTAGATATTCGGTGGACGTTTGTTGACTTTTGTTGTATATTAATAGTTTGTACATCTAGTGGTCTCACTGGCGGTAACACAGAATTTCTTTGTACTATATGATTTGGTGTGAATAGTGGATTTGCGAATAGAGCTATGTCTTTTTCACTGTACTGCTCTCCCCAATCCCAGACTGATCTTAAAACTAACGGAGGCTGGTGCTGGAAAAACATGTAATATTTTGTAAACATACCATAGGAGCTTGGTACGGAAAGAGAAGTATGAACAATTAAAAATTGTTTTAAAACTAGGAGTACCACAAGGAACAGTTGTAGGGCCATTATTTTATTTAAAATTCTAAAGAAAAATAAAGAAAAGACAAAATTTACTAATAGTGCATGGAATCGTAATTGAAATTTTAAAAAAAGATTCAATTTTTTTTAGAACTCTGAAAAAATCGATCTTTGAGATTTTTAAAATTTTTGAAAAAAATTGACCTCTTTGAAAAATCTGATTTTTTTGCGGTTACTATTTAAAATCTGATTCGTGCGCTCGAAATCGTGGACGAATTGTATCCAAACATACACAACATGCCAAAATATTCTTTGAAACATAAAGATACGCAAAAATGTTCATTTTCGATTTTTTTGCGATTACTATAACTTACCCTAAGGAAAGATAAAAAATGAAATATTTGGGTATTATAAAAAACAATAATTTAGAATGGTATTATCAAATTGAAATAATAATAATAAACTTACACATAATACATATTTGAATGTGGGGTCAAACCACAAATAAAAATATCTAAGCATGAATATAATTACTCTCATCTCTCATCAGCAAAAAAAAAACTATATATTTCCATATGATAAAAATAGAAACATGCATCCAAATACATAAAATCAAAAATAATAATAATATATTCTCTATTTTACTTACAAATCCCACAGAGCGTCTCTCATGTTCACTGTTGAAGATAAACGTATCAAATATGGTCAAATGTGCAGAATCCCACAACGTAGTCAAATAAGTCTCAGACATCTCCAAGGCAGTCGGCAACTGTTGTGTTATTTGCCAAACACAGTCCAAAAATAATAACAAATAGGGAGCCGTTACAGTATCTTGAACAATCACATGACCTAACCGATCACTAAAAGAAAATGTCTATAGTAAATGATTGATGTAAATAAATTAATGTTATAAATTAATTCACCAAAATGGATGTCCAAGAGCAACCCAGTCCTTTTGAATTAATGATTGAAAACCATTAATTGTCCTATAATGCGGATCGACAAGAATTTGTGTGAGACTTGATATGACGCAAATTATATCTCGTCCGTCACCTATGGAAAAAATAATTGTATTTATATATATATATATATATATATATATATATATATATATATATATGTTAAAGTAGTTAATTTTGATGTTGAGAAATATGAGTAAGTTCTTCAAGGGCAAATCAAATAAAAGGCAAAGATTTAGAAGTTAATCTTTAATTTTTCCATGGAAATTAATATAATATATAATTAATTATATATATATATATATATGTGTGTGTGTGTGTGCGTGTGTGTTAGTTTAGTTTGTTTATTTTGTAATCAACATTAGTTTTGAGGTTGATAATATATAACTTTGTTCTTTCTATTACTTATGGGATTCCTTGTTCAAAGCTCGAAAAAAGATATAAATGTAAGTTTTTTAACATTCCTTATATACTTTTCCTTTCAGTACTAAATATGTAAAAAAAATATCCATACCTTCTTGTAAAACTACAGTTGAACCGGCACAAAGAGAATCAGCTGCCTGACTAGCCAATGCTAAACACGTAGACACATAATATAACCAACGAGAACTATCTAGCAAAGACAACAGTTTTGAATCTTGCACCTGAAAAAATAAAAATCAATAAAGCAAACTTAATAAAATCATTTGCCATATAGTATATTTATTATACTAACACCAAATTGTCTCAAGGAATCAGGCGTACACAAGTCTTTCAACTTGGAATAACTACTATAAAGCTCCTTAGCACTGGGAAGATCTTTACATAAATCTAAAACAACGGGTTGTTTCTTTTGGGGATGAGCGGACCTAACATTTTCCAACATAGCATTCTCTTGTGTCCGATCCGACATTGTTGGGTGAATATCAGACATTCGGACTAAAGCACAACCTTGTCTGTTACCCCAAACCTAGAAGAAATAAATAATTACATATATGAATTTATTTTATCCTTGATATTATTTTTATCTTACATATATTGGAATTGCCCCGCATCTGAAATGTCTAGCTGCTTCTATTAACCGTGAATCCAAAACATTGGCAGGCACAATTAATGTTGATGGTAAAGTTGATGATATATCGTAACTACTGTTTACTGATGAACATCTCCAACCCGGTGTCTCTAATCTAACCAATTCGTAATGCCAATCAGCAGCGTTTGAAAACATTGCACAGTTGTATTGTGGATAATAGGGTTCGCTGGAAGGAAATATAGAATTTATGTAAATATTTATCTAAAAATGTTGTAGATTATCTGAAAAGATTATTGAAACTATCATTGAACCAGTTATAATCCCATTTTAAATATTATAAATTTGTATTTGGATATTTATTCATACACAAATCAAAAATAATAATTAAAAGATGCCATTAATTATAAATTGCAAGCAATGTTAATAAAATAATGTTTGCCTTATAGAAACAATGCAAATTTATTTTAAAAAAATCATTTACTACCTCACCTATAATCGTATGCAAATAATCTAGTATGGACAGTCGGGAATGCATGATGCAATATTGAAAGAGTAATTCCTTTGGCTTCATTAATTGGTGTAAATTTAAAACTGAAAGACATTGTCCTCATATTCTGTAAATAATTTGTAAAAAATTAAACAAAATAACAGACTTTATACAAGAAATATTGAAACCAACCTTGCAGACAATAAAAAGCCCTTTCACTTTAGAATGTATACTTTGTCCAGGAACAAGTTTTTTTTTCTTATCTCCAAGTGTGTAAATCTAAAACAAAAATTGAATTTACAAAACAAATTTAAGTGCACCAGCATTTTTATTTATATATCTATTTCTATATTTATATATTTACCGCGTCAATATTAGACAGACATATATCATTTTCACCAAGCAAAGCATTTTGTTGATACGTGTTATCCTAGAAATATAAAAATAATATATTCACAACAATTTCTTACTATGTAATCCTTTATCTATATAATGCACTTACACAACTACCATCTTTTGTATCGCTGGTAATGAATGTGACTTTGAAATTTGTTACAACTAGTAAACCGGTCTTTCCTTGGTTTCCATCAGTAAGAGGAGCAAACATTAACACGCTGTTGGCTTCGGCAACTGTAAGTTCACCTAAAAGGTGAAAAAAACAATTGAAACTGGTAATAATAGACACTAATTGTATAATTAATAATAATGAAATACAGCTGACATTATTCAAATTCAATTATTTACATAAAAATACAGTAAATCTTTCTATGATAATAATGTAATAAAGATTGTAATAATTGCCAAAGATTTTTTTGCAAATAGTAAATGAAGTTTTAAAAGCGATGCACAAATTATATTTTTTTAATGACAAAAAATCATGATAATGATTAATATGTCCATAAACTTAAAATCTGCTCGATTAAATAATGGACCATTTTTTATAATATTACAATTATTATAAGATTACAATTATTACTATAACTTATATTCACCTGGTAACAGTCGTGGTTTTAAAACAGACAGTTCATTAACACCTAGCTCCAAATCCTAAAAATATAAATATATCAGTCCATTTTACAAATAAATTCTAGGTACAAGATAAGGAACAAAATTTATTCGTTGACACTAAATGTATAAAATATTATAATTACCACAAATTCATCTTCATCTATATCCAGATAACTCTTAAAATTGTTACCAGATTTCATGTCGCTCATTGTAAATGTAAACATTTAAAATACATTATCCTTATTGCTAAATTTGTAGTTTCACATAACCTGCATTAATTTTTACAATCTAATCATTTCCTTGTTAAATTTGGCTTGATTTATTAAATAAATAATTTCTTCTGCATTCCTTACATAATTACATTAAACGTTAAATTATCTTAAACTAATATTATTATTAATTTCAACACTCTGTCATAATTGAAACACAAAAGTCATTTAAAAGGATTGTCAATCCAAGAGGATGCAACATGAGAAAAGAAGTTCGAATATTTTTGATTATTAATTTTAATTTGTGTCATGACCGTGAGATTAGGATAGATAAAAATAATGTAACAAATATAAGCTAATGAGCAAATTTTCTCAGAATGGTTATTGTACAGATAATGCAAATTGATAGATGTCTCAAGTCAAGTTTGAAAATTATTACACTAGTAGTGGGATAGCTGATGTATACTTATTTATATATATATAACTATTATAAATATATATACTTTTATCTGCTTTTATTTTTGCCATATCTAGGCAGTTGTTTTTAAATATAGGTTTTTTTCTAATGAGCGTATTACATATTATGTATTTACAACAGCAATATATCTGCAATTCAAAAATTCCAAATCAATACAAGACAATGCTTTCGGAACATATTATTAGTTTAAATCATACTTTTAATACTAAAAATCCTATTATTTTGCATAAAAAAATTGTGATCTAGAAAAAGTTTTTGAATCTGTTTTTATAAATTTAAATCCTTTTTGTGTAAATAAACGTAATTCTGCCTTTTCAGTTTATAATACTTATCATAATTATATCAATTGTTCATGACTGTGAATTTATCTGTTTTTCAATATTTAAATTTTTACCAATTTTTTTAATTCATTTTTTTTAAATATTTCACTACTTTGTTTTATTTTCGTTTTTTCAATTCTTGTTTCTCCTTTTTCTAACTGGCTAGCATCTACCAGAATTTGATCTTGAATCTATATTTGTAAACCTCCTTTGTTTCTATACAGTAAACTTTAAGTTTATTATTTTTTATTATTGGTTTATTTTTTGCAATGTTTAAACTAAATTGTTCAGAAACCTTTGAAACGTAAAGATATATGAAAATTCTTATTAACTTAGTGTAAGTTATAGCAATGGGCCAAAAATCAAAAATATTTTTTTTTGCATTACTTTACGTTTCAGAGGTTTCTGAACATTTTGGCATACTTCAGAAAAAATGGATGTGTGTATGTATGTATGTGTGAAGACAATGTTTCGTCAATGATTTCGGGCGTATGGATGAACCGATTCAAAAAATTCAAGAAGCAATCGATTCCTATTGATAGAAAGATGTGCTGATTAGTTTTTGGCAAAGGCAGGTCCAGCGGGTCTAAAAATATGGAGCAAAAATGCTAAAAATGTCAGTTTTTAAGAATCAACCGATTTAAATGATCCAAAAAACATTCGATTCGTAATGATGGGGAAGTGTGATGATTACATTTGGGCAAATGCAGATCCAGCCGTTTGGGAGTTACAGAGCTAATTTATAAATAAGGACAGTTTTTGAGAGAACTAAGCATCCGATTTGAATGGTTCAAGAAGCTTTCTGCTTGTGTTGACGAAACAATTACTTTTGGGGAAAAAATCATTTTTTTTTTAGTTTATTGCTTTCAAACGATTCAAAATGACTTAAAACATTGATATCAATGTAGCACACCTGCGGGAATTTAATATACAATATTATATTTTAATTTTGATACCAGTGCTCATACTATTTATTTACAAACTAGTTCAACGTAAAAATTACACATGGCGTTGTTGATGTAACTGTCAATTTATACGACAGTGGCGCTGCGTGCGAGTAAAAAGGCAATGATGTAATATGTAAAATATAAAATTATTAATAATATACAAAAAATATTAAAAGTTTTTTAAAGGGTTAATTAAATTTTAGTGTTGATAAATGTTATTAAAATGCATTTTGCCTGATCGCCAGTAATACTAGGCAACTAGGCATTAATATAAGGCGTTTTGTGTACACTATTATTTTACAAAACTTTAATTTAATTTTTTCAACTAAAAATTAACGATTATCTACAAAATATTTAAATTCAAATTTAAATTTAAAATAGTACAATATCTATAAATTCTATCTATTATTCCGGCCGAGAGAGGAACACTGTGGGAGCGTGACGGCGCGAAGGTCTAATCGAAATGCGCAAATTCCGAATCGAATTAGCACAATAACAAATGCACACACGGTGCAATTTCATTTAAAACAATATACCTTTAAACAAATGTCAGACATCATAATTATATTTCACCAAAATCTTTAATTTAAAGCCCGTATTTAAACCGGATGTATATTTGTTCCGAAAAAGTGTCTCGTTGGCTACTCTCGGCAAATCAACTTCAGTCAACTCATCAATCGTAAAAGTCAAACGCCGCTAAAGTAATATTTTTTTTTAGTTTTTCTTATAAGTCAAAGCGAAATGTGTAAATAATCAATTTGGAAAATTCAATTGCGTTTGATTACAATCTAGTTTTATATGTATTATGTGATTTGACGGTAGATTAATATTATATATAGTAAATTTTAATTTTTATTATCAAACTTTGGAAACCTGTCAAACACCGCTTTTTGCAATAAAAGTAAGTATAATTTGATTTAAACTTATGTTTTAGGGGTTTTTATTAACTATGTTTGTTTGTGGAATCATTTGATGTGATTATATTTACTTTATCACTTATCTGTGAATTTATTCTATTTACTTAATGACATCATGTATTTTTGTCAATTTTCAACTACTTGGAGAATGAATCATTGTGTCACGTTGACAAGAATAAATGATTTATATTATAAACTTTGAGCCTTTTGTAAAATACTAGACTTCAAATTGTGTTTTATTTATCTATATACATTCTTGATTTTAATGCTTCATGGACATGTTTTTTGATTTATTGGTTTAAGGTGCAATGTAATTTTGTTCGCAGGCTACAAACCTGTATAAAAAATTGTTCAACATATGTGGTATTACGTCTGTAAAGTTTATTACTGTGTTTCCATTTTGCCACATCGACCAGTTTTATTTAATTTAAATCACTGAACAGAAACTCAATATTATAACCGTAATAAGACTTCTAGCCTTTATGTCTTTATTTATATTCATAGATCAAATCTGTATTGCTATTGATGTACAATTTGGAATATATACATTTATTGTCCTTCTGTGTACTTTTTAAAATCATTTTTCATTATAGTGCTTTATAGAAATATCGCTTAAATCATTACTTTATTGTGCAATGCAATTTTTAACCAGAAACAAGTCTATAATTTCAATTCTGATACTTTAACCTCAAATTTGCTAACCCAATGTTTTGTTTGTTTATTCTTCCATTTAAATTTATATAAATCCTAACTCTCTATTAACTAATTAGCTTTCTTATTTTCGCTTTTTTTTCCCCAGGAATATTATCAAGATGGATATTTACACCGGTCTCATTTTCGGAGTGATAGTCATATTATGTGCGGCAGTATTAGCTTCAATTAGTCTATTTGGAATGAAAACTAAAACTTACGATGAAGCTAAAGCTGAAAAGAAGACAGTTGTCGAAACTGTGAAACTGGCTCAGCACCAAAAGCAGAAGAAAAACAAGAAATCTCTCAAAAAGGTAAAAATAAAATATAAATCTAAGTATTATGATGAATATTTCAAATTATTTTATTATTACTTTAGACAAAAGAAAATAAGGAAATCATCAATAAGGATTTGAAAGACGAAATCAAACAAACTGTTGTTGATGATGAAGAGGAGGAATCTGTTAAAGTTGAGACTAAACCGGTTCATGTAGAGTTTCAAGAACCGGAAATTATTCCAATTGATGATGATGTTGTACAGTTAAAGGTAAGAAAATTGTGTGAGATTATAAGTAATTATCAGAGTAATACATATCTAAAATTGGGTTGCAGAAAAATAAAAAGAAAAACGCTCCAGCACGTCCAATTTTAGTGAATAAGGATGAGAACAAAATTTCAGCACCACCATCAACATCCAGTTCTACAACTTCGTTGAATCATTTCGAAAACATTCACCCCAAAGATGATTTGGAGAAATTGAAAGCACAATTGGTAATAATAATGATAAATAGTAGTTTGCTTGAAGGCTTCGCTTTCTCTACCTTATTTATTATTCTCATTTTCATTTTGTTACCATTAATCATTTTGTTACCATTAATTTGTTTTGTATTTTTTTTATTATAATAAATTTATATTAATGTTGCAGGCTTCAGATCCAGTAAAATCCAAAACTGTTGTTAAACCAACAAAAGCTAAGTTGGAAGCTATCGTTTCTAAGGACATGAAAGGTATTGATATAATTTTTATTTGTTATTTGCTTTACACACTTTTGCATTAGCTTGTCTTGAAATTTTCATTAAAAATTAATACAATTGACTTCTTTTATTTTCTGCATTATATACAAGTATTATCTTTTAATTTACAGTAACTAAAGCTCATTTGTCAGAACCAGTTCACGAGCAAACTAATGTGAACTCACAGAAGTCGCACAAAAAGAAAAAGAGTGAATTGGCAGTTTTGCAGCAATTGAGTAAGAATTATATTTTTCACACAATTTAAAACTAGTGGTGCATGGTATTGTGACTCAAAGTAAATCGCTGGAACTTCCCGTTTATAATGAAATATTCAAGGAATTTAAAATTCAAACTTTTATTATTCATATTTGATAGACAAAATATTAGAGCTTATAAATTGGAAGACGACATTTTTATATCTTTATATTAGAAGTAAATAAAAAAAAACTTGATCAAGCAAAATTAGAATGAAGGACCTTAACTTATATTTCTAAGAATTGCATGAACTGAATTGCAAAGTTTAAATTATTTATCTCAAGTATATAAGTCAGTATTAGAATTTTGGCTAGAATTAAAATTAAAATGCGAGTCATTTTCTATATTTAAAAAAAAAATAGTTTTTGAAATTGAATTTTTTTTTTTAATTTTGAAATCATTTTTTTGTTTTCCCAAAAACTAATCATTTTTTTAAGCTCTCAACACAGGCTAAATATTTTTTGAATCATTCAAATCGGTTGATTCGTACGCCCGAAATCGTGGACGAAAAATTGTATCCACACATACATACACATTCATCTATTTTTTCTAATTGTAATCTATGCCAAAATGTTCAGAAACCTTTAAAACAAAGATATATACAATTTTTTATTAATTTCTCAGAATAATTTGTAGTAATCCCAAAAAATTATATATCTTTACATTTCAAAAATTTCTGAACATTTTGGCATTTTATGCTAAAATGGATGTATGTGTCTGTGTGCGGATACAAATTTCGGAATTTCGGGAAAACAGATCAACCAATTAGAATGTTCCAAAATGTTTCAAAGTACAAAAAAAAAATCTAATTTTTTATAAAGGTCAATTTTTTAAAAAAATTAAAAATCTCCAAAATCGATTTTTTCTAGAGTTCTAAAAGAAAATTGAATCTTTTTTTAAAAAATGTAATTTTTGGTACGGAAAGTTCCAGCAATTTGCCTTAAGGCACGATGCCATGCACCACTAGTTTTTTATTTTTTGCTATTATTATAACTTAGCCTAAGGGAGGTCAAAATCATTCTCACAAATGATATATCATGTGAAAAATATTCTTCTAACAGGTAATGATGAAGGCGGTGTTGGAATAAACGTACTCGAGCCATTACTAACTAAAGCACAACTTTCAAGAAGCGAATTACAATTTCTTATTGACCTAATGCTGAACAAACAACACGGTCCCACCCCTGAACACACTGAATGGTTTGAGGTAATAAATTTAATATTTAATAACAATTTACAATTTTTATTTAATTGCTATTTGATTTATTTTTAAATAATCATACTACGGATATCATTTTAATGAAAATACTATCCTTTATATTGTACTCTTTTTTATTTAAATTTATGTTATTGTCCATCATTGTTACTATATGTTAGCAGTTGTAACAAATATTGTAAATATTGTAAAAAAATAATAATACAAACAATTTACCAAATATTATATTTACCAATTTATTTTTTTCCCAGGGGCGCAGTGACCCCGTACAGAAACTAAAAAAACAGTTGGCAGAAAAGGAGAAAGCTCTAACAGACGAGCAAGAGAAATCTCTGGGTATTCAAGCAAAGTTACGTGAATTGCGCACTGAATTGAATGCTGAGCGTTCTAGAATCAATGCAGCAACTCGTAACTATGAACAAACTATTGCATCGAAATCATCTGAAGCTCAGCAATTGGCTAATAAGTTACAAATTGTGGTTGAAAGCCATAATGCAGAGAAGCATACTTTGACACAGCAATTGCAACAGGTAAGGGTAATAGATAAAATAGAAAAAATGTAAAACCTATTTGCTATAGTACAAGATGGCATTTAAGTAAAAATAAATACATCATATAACAATTTTGAATAATGTTTATTAGTAATATAGTGGTAACACTTGTTGTCGTGATGCACACATTTATTAGTGTCAACCATTATACACATTTACATAATGATGAATTATAAATTATATATTTATAGCAGCATTAAAAATATGTATAATATTTAAAAACAATAATGTGGTTAAAGTCATACTTCAAATATGACATGATCGGTTTGTCATTGTAATTAGCATTTAGAAATGAACCTTCATTAGGGAAAGTAAGTAATTGCTGATTAATAAATTCTTTAATAATCGTTCACACAGTGGATTATGTTAAACAACGCCTAAACAAATATTGTTTTTGCAACTTCACTCATCATGTAATAATTGTGTTTGAAGAACTTCATGTAATTAAAATTAACACACATTCATTGACTGATAGTATTTTTTTTTTTTACTTTTTTACTGGTGATATAATCTCATTCTTTGAATAGCTGTAATATCTGTTTTGGTTAAAAAATATTTTTCATTTCAATAACTTCAAAGATTTATAGAAACTACGAATAATATAGAAATTCTTTCTAATCAATAAACTTACGTTTAGTACACGGCAAAAATGTTTAATTTGTTTTATTATTCTCAAGGAACGGGGTAAAATATTCTTCTGATTCAGGCTTCTTTAAATCAAGATTTGTACTACGATGTAACTTTAAAATATTTATTTATCTATGCCGATTTCCTTGTTGATATCGGTGCGCATACAACGTTGATGCCGGTATGCATACAACGACAGATCTCTATTCACTTGACACGACGACTAATCACAATCGACCCGTATAGAAATCATATCATCGAGAGCGAATGACGAATCATTGGCACTCCACTCTTATTTTATCTTATCTTGTCTGCCGTAACGCACTTCCGTTGCATTTGTACGCATTTACACCCTAGTCGCGCTCACAGAAGTTTTACTTCAAAAATATTTTGTTGAAATACATATATGTAAAGTATTTTTTATCTATTTATTCAGTACCAGGCTAAACTCGCTGAAGAACACAATGCAGTAACTCAACTGCAAGAGGAACAAAAGAATGTGAAAGAATTGATGGCCCAAAGGCAACAGTACGAAGCTCATATTGTCCAAATGAAAGAAGTAAGATCATTAAAGAATTATGCTATGAGAACATATATTTGCAATGTTTTTATTTGTTTCAGAACGAAGCTATGTTGAACTCTCAATTGCACTCGTTGCACGCAAAGTTATTGGAAACTAAAACATTGCAGGAACAACTTGCATATAGGGATCAACAGTTGCAAGAAATCATGCCACAATTGGAGGTAATATTTCAAAAGAAGTTTGTAATAATCATTCATTTTTAGATTTTGCAATACAACTGCTACAAATTTGATATAATAGATGTATTGTATTATGGGAGATAGTTATTATATTTAATGAAATTATTGACATGTAATTACTATTTATTTCCAGGCCTGTAGACAACAAATTGCTGACTATGACCAACGCTGGGTTGTTGCACAAATGCATGAAAATGAATTGAAAATGGAAATTCATAGATTGCAAACCGAATTGAGATCTTCGAAGGACAATTTATCAGGTACGAAAGCAAAACAAATATTTATCTTATATATAAAAATGGAGCTCTCTTTCAAATGTCCGAATAAAACTCGAAAACGGCTGAATAGATTTGGCCAGTCTTAGTCTTGAAAAATTCGTGCCAATCCAGAGAAAGTCCAAAAGGTGAGAAATTATTTCAAATTCGCGTAGAAACTTTACATTTTTAATTTGAAAATTTTTGTTGAAGCGTAATGTAAATAAAACAATGGACGGTGGCTAATACTTGAAATGTCAAACGTTTTTGACAGATGATGTTCGATTACGTTTAATAGGATGTTTTACGTGAATATTATTTAATTATGATTAAATCGTAGTGAATAGTTTTGTTTGTAGTTTTATTTATATACAAAAACGTTAGTAAACGGGCCGCAAGTGTTACTAGAGACTCAAAATATAAACTTCTTTGAAATATTAATATGAAAATGCACTTTTTGGCATATTTTTCTCAAACACGATGCTCTGAAAGATCTCATTTGTATCATTATATACCCATTGGTATTTATAAAACATTTTCTAGGTTATATTATTTTTTATTTATGATATTTAAATTCAGAACCTAAATTTGGTATCGATCAAATGGACATTTTGTCGAATAACATTTTCCCAGTTATAATTTCCCAGAATTTATCGAAGAATAGATAGTAATATATGAAGGTCCGGGATTAAAAAGGTCCACCACCGATGTGTCAAAAATCAGTAAAGTTAAGCATTGTTTAACAACAATATTTGAAAGTAGAGGAAAAAGGATGTATAACCAGCTATAACCTTGATTTGAAAACGGTAATCTTTGAAATGGGGGAGATAAACGGTAATCTTTGAAAATCCATAATACAAGTATTCTTTTCCGTTGTTAGTTTTTTAGCATTAGTTAAAAATGTAATTATTTTGTAAAATACCATTAAAATTATAATAAGGCTTTAAACCTGTTTGCCACCTGGCCGTTTCAAGTTACTCCGTCTATAGGGTAAAAAGGACATTTCTACAGTGATAAAGTAGAAGGCAGTTTACTGAACGTAGTCAGATAATTGTTTGTTTGATATGTGTTATTTATTGCGATATAATTGTTATGGTTTTCACAATATAGTTTATATTTGCTCAAAGTTAAATTGGACCTTTGTGCTTCGCCCTGCTCTACATATATACTTTTTATTAAATTTACTTTAATTCATCGAATGTTACTAGAAACTTTCCAAGAAGTAGGTCAAAGAAAAAATACTTAATTCATTTTCTATCTCTCCTCGCAAAAATTTGAAAATTTTGTATAAGCTCAATAGTATTATTTACAATTATACACAAAATCCAGAATCCAAAAAGAATCTGAAAAACTTCAAACGTAATCAATAAGTCGAAAGACCAAAAAAGACTTGAAGTGTATAAATCTTCCAGTTTGATTGCATTGACAAAATATAGATAAACTAATGGGGTTTATTGTTTTTATAACACTTCATTGTATATAGCATTCAAACAAGACATCCTTATGCACTTAAAGTATTAATATTTTTGATTCTCTAGAAATTGTTTAGAATATACCTTACTCAGCAAAACAAAGTTTGCCGGGTCAGCTAGTATATATATATATATATATATATATATATATATATATATATGTTTGTATTATTATTATTTGTAGGATTTGCTGCAATGGAATCTGAAATGAGCAGACTCTCGATGTTGAATACCAAACATGAAGAAAAACAAAAGGAACTTCTGAGGAAAAATGAAGATGTTGATAGACACATTAACCAAGTAAATTTATGCCCATATACTAAGAGGTATACTTTTTTATTGAAAGCTTACGACTATATATAATTGTGTTTCAGTTAAAAACCCAAATAAATACTCTACAAAATGAGAAAGATGCTCTAGTGAAACAAGTAGCTGAGTTATCGGAATTGCAAAATGGAGCTGCCACTCACGAAAACAACAAAAATAAGGTAATAGATAATTTATAACAAAGTCTCAAGTATTAATTTGTTAAAGATACATATTACATGATTACAAGTACATATTAACATGATTTTAATCAAAAAAAAAAATTAACATTTAGCCATGGTAACTTTATTAAATAGTTTTGTTAAAAATGTATCAAGATATTTTTTTTGTTATCAAATTTTTGTTGGAAAAACACTATTCTTTTTGTTCTATATTATTAACTATTATCGTGTATTATTAACTTCCCATAGGGTAAGTTACAGTAATTGCAAAAAAATTGATTTTAAATTTTTTATATCTTCACGTTTCAAAGGTTTTTGAATATTTTTACAACCATACAAAAAATGGATGTATATGTGCGTGTGTGTGCGGATACTAATTTTCATCGACAATTTTGGGAACACGGATCAACCGATTTGAATAATTCATAAAAGATTTTGCGGTGTGAAAAAATGCTTTTATAGAAAATTCCGTAATTTTGAAAATTAAAAAATTAAAGTTTCAAAAAATTCAAATTTTTGCAAATTTTCATAATTTCAAAATAAAATCAAAATTTTGAAAAATTTCAAGAAATATCAATTTTAAAAAAAATCGATCTCACAAAAATTTTAAAATAATTCGTAATTTTCGAAAATTTCTAAATTTAAAGAAATCGATTTTTATCAGAAATTCAAAAAAATTTCGAACTTTTAAAAAAATATTCAAAATTTTGAAAAGAGTTCAATATTATCAAAAAAATCAAATTAAAAAAAAATTTAACAAGTTTCTTGTAATTTTAAACACATAGTTGTTTGTAGAATATGCTCGTCTCCCAATTTAATAAGCACTTATAAATTTACAGTATGTATTTATAATAAATAATCTGTTTGAAATTATTTAAAACAATTATTGTTTATTTTTATTTCTCGAATGTTTAATCACTGTACGGGAAGTATCAACAATTTGCCTCAAAACACAATGCCATACACCACTAGTTAAATAAAAATAAATACTAAATACTAAATTTTTTTTCGACATGGCGATTAACGTAACTTATATGTATGAATTTTCAGTTTACTCACCTATTTCTTCCTCCTCACAGGTGGAATTCCTGAACCTCCAGAACGCTCTCGATTCAAACGTCAGTAAACTCAAACAAGTGGAAACCGAAAACACAGAACTCAAAAATAAAGTATCACAATTAACTACAACACACGGTTCACTACAGAGTCAACTTGATGAACTGAAATTGAAAAATGACGTGAGTAAATGATAAATGATTTAAGGATTTAGAAATATTGTTTTATTAATATTTTTGTTTGGTTTTTGTAGGAGTTGAGAACTAAAAACTGGAACGTCATGGAAGCTTTGCAGACTAAAGAAAAACTAGTAACGGAATTAACTAAACAGCAACAACAACAACCTGTAAGTTTACATTTATAAAACAATCATAAAACTAGCTGTAAGTGAAATTCTGTCTTAAGGCAATTAAGGCATCGTGCCTTAAGGCAAATTGCTGGAACTTCCCGTACCAAAAATTATTATTTTTTTAAAAGCGATTAACATTTTAGAAAAATTTTAATTCGAAAAAATTAGATTTTTGAGAAACTATAAATTGGACAAAAAATTACTTTTTTTTTTGAAAAAAAAAATTTTTTTTTTTAATTTTTTTAAAAAAAAAATTTTTTTAAATTTTTTTTTTTTTTTTGAAAAAAAATGTTTTCTTCATTTTGACATATTTTGGAAGATCTGAACTTGTTTTTCAAAGCAATCGTACTGCTTTAACTGCATACGGGTAAATATTGATACGGAACCCATAGGAAAATAAACAAAATTTATATTTATTGTTAAAATCTCTATAAAATATCTGAAAATTTGATGTGCATATGTCTAATGATCATTTTTGACCGCCAAATGGCTTTTTTTTTACTTTTTTCGTTAGATCTCCGAAACCGCTAGACCTGCCTTTATGAAAATTTGATCAATTCTTTATCTTGTCAATACAAGTAAAATGTTTTTTGAATTATTAAAATCGGACGCTCCGTTCTCTTAAAAACTGAGTTACCGTTTTCGACACTTTTTGCCCCGTATCTCCGGAACGGCTAGACCTGCCTTCGCCAAAAACTAATCAGCACGTCTCCTTATCAATACGATTCGAATGTTTTTTGAATTATTCAAATCGGTTGATCCGTGTTCCCGAAATCGACGACGAAAATTTGTATCCGCACGTACATACACACACATACACACATACATACATACATACATACATACATACACACACATAAATCCATTTTTTCTAAGGTATGCCAAAATGTTCAGAAACCTCTGAAACGTAAAGATATATAAAAATTTTCATTTTCGATTTTTTTGCGATTACTATAACTTACCCTACGGGAAGTTAACAAAATCTGCAACAAATTTTTTTCTGTTTTAGCAAAAAATTGTAGAAGTTTCTACTAAACCTTCAGAAGATGCCGTGGCACAAGCGGCTATAGAATTGGTTAAGAGAATAATGCCTGAAAATGCAGTTAATTCTAAAGAATTAGGAAGTAATCCTGAAGAATGCTTAGATGTGTACAAGCAAAAAATATTCCATATGCACGAACAGAATAGTCAATTGGCCGCCATGGTTACTAATTATAAGAAAATAGTTTTGGACACCGTAAGTAAAAATTACATAAATATATATACATATATATATATATATATATATATATATATATATATATATATACTAGATGACCTAACAGACGTTGTTCTGTATCCACGTCTACAATTTTTTCATATCCTACACCAATATATACCGTTTACCTAAGAATGATAATTATTGTTTTTTAAATTACTCTTCACACCAAAATACATATACATCAATATGAGCGATGTTGAATGTATTAACAGCTTTAAATAATATGATGAGTCTCAATTCCCACACTATATTGGAAATTGAATAAGGTATAACAAATTCAGAAAAAAATAATATATAGTATCAGCGGTAAAAGTACACAATATTACCTTGGATTTTTCCACTCAAAATAATTGCTCCAATAATGTTGCCTATAATTTTTATAATTTCGTATCATATTTTAACTGGTTTTTAGTAATTATAATATCTAAATTACATTTTTCTTAGTAATAATTTAATATATATTATTACTAGGCTATTCGGTTTTTTTTCTAGCGTCCCCTCTCCTATTATTTTACCTGTTTTAACAGTTTTTTTTTTATTAAAATTATTACCATTAATTAATATTTGGCTTTTGAAACGTTTTACTTATTTATTTTGGGCATTTTATGCGATTTATTCTATTGACACTCAATCACAGAGAGCAAAAAAGTTCTAGCCTTTCATTATTAAACATAATCATAACATAACACTGGTTACTTCATGTTGGATTATTTTAATTTAATTTTTTATTATTTAAGATATCCAAAATTGCATCTTAAACTTCTCCTTATTGATATTGTAAGGGCCGAATTGTATGTATTCATCTTTACTTTACCATATGTTGTTCTGAAGTGAAATTTTTAACGTATTTTAAAAATATTGTGCAAAGATTAGTAAAAGATGCAAAGAAATTATATATTTCTTAAATTATATTGGAAAAAAAATTACATTGAAAATTTCATATCCAAATCTCGTGTTGGTCCTAATTATTACTTAAATTTATATTATAAGTGAATTAATTTGTCTGTTTGTATGTGTATCATTCAATCTGCCATACACATACTGTATCTTATATTATTTTAATTTCTGGCACATCTCAGCTGCTTTACGGCAATAATCATGTAGACATTTCATTTTTCTTATTCATAATCATAAATTTATTATACATGTTCTAATATTGTCTAGGCTCATAAGAAAATTGAAATTTTGGCAAACGACAGTTTTCATTTGTTTTCAATGCCAAATAATGTTCCAAATATTTTCAATGTCAAACAATGATACGCGGTTTTTTGTAATTTTTTCCATTTATTTCTACAATCTAACTATATTTCTATAATTCAAAAAATCCTAAGAAATTCCCTTAACAAATTTCAGAAAGATTTATCAAAATCTGAATAATCGTTTAGGAGGAGTATATTTACATACACCATTACAGAAGAATTTTATATTATATATATATATATATATATTTATATTTTTTTTATCTCAGGAGGGAGTACTTAATAATTTACAGTCCTATGTTGAGACTGAAGAATCCCGCTGGCAAGAAAAGTTTGCAGCGAAAGAAGCAGAAATTCAAGCAATGAATAAACAATTACAAGCTCAGGTATTTATATATAACGATAGTTATTAATTAGTTAATAATATGGAATAAAATTATTTCTTTTTTTGTAGCAAAAGACCTCAACACCAAATCATTCAACAAATGGACCTACTGCAAGTTTATAGGACATGGTGAGAAAAAAATAATTTATTATATATATATATATATATATATATATATATATATATATAACGCTTAAAGTACTCTAGAGAGACTGTTTTACAACAAACCCTGGATTAAAGCACACTAGCACAGTTTGTGATAAGTTTCAAACACTCGTACAGAGTAAAGCGCATTTGTTCTATGTTTTTTTTCTCTTAAATGCCACTTACACCTAGCTTTATTTTCCTTTTCAGCTTTGATAATGTATAACCAAGAAGAATAATTGCTTTGGACAAGCGGTACGAATATTAATAATATAACCAATCAATCATTCTACTACACAAGGAATGTTATTAATATATATATTATAATAGACGCACACATTTAGAGGATTTAGTACTGTGCTATATTTTGTATTATATTTTTATTAAATTAATTTACTAGATTATTTTCTATTGCTAAAAAAAAAAAGATAAAGTAAAGATAAATTGAACCAAGCAATCTATCTATTGTTAAAGTGGGACTGGTTTTCACTTTTGAAATTTATACATATGTACTTTATTTTGACAATGGAAACATTAAAAGACACATTTATTATTACACATGGTAGAGATTAATTTTATTTAAGGTTTTTCACATTTTTGGGTTGAAAAAATATTGAAAAAAATTGGTAATAAATGTAAATTTATTTATACTTAACAATGTTTGCGTCTTAATATATATATATATATATATATATATATATATATATATATTGTAGTGCTTTGAAAACAGAATCCAAAAAGTAATAAAAAACAAGTTCGTTCCATCTTCAGGACATCTGTCAAGGAACATGATCTTGATAAGATTTAAACAAACAATAAAGAAAAGTAGAAAATGGTGATTTTTTTATATAAAATGAATAAAATTGTGGAAGAAATAACATTACAGATTTTTTTTGTTTTTCATTAGTTTTTGGATTCTTTGTTTGAAGCTCTACAATAATATATATATATATATATATATATATATATATATGACGATAGAAAAAGAAAATATATATATATACACCTAAGTCTGGTTTTACACGGTAGAATGGTTCCAGAAGAAGCCGTGTAAAAAAAAAAACGTGTAAAAAAAGACATTGATCTTATACAAAAATGGGTGATTTGTTCCTAATCTCTAAAACCTATTAAAATTAGTGAAAAACAAGAATTTTTAAGAACAAGAATTCATGTTTATTTTATTAAATCAAATAAAAAATCAAAGTAAAAATTGTTTGTACGCGCTAAAGGGGAATTCACTTAAATCTTTAAGCTAGTGTTTGCAAACTATCGATACTATCGATGGTTTCAGCCTTTTTTCTTTCATAAATACTTTTTTGTGATGTGAACATACTTCGCAAAAATTAAATTTGACAAAAAAAATTTAAGTACATAAAATTTCTAATCGTGCTAAATGGAATAAAATCGTGTAAAAAAATTAAAAATATTCAATTTTCAAACCGTGCACAAAAAGACTGTGTAAAAACAGACTTAGGTGTATATATATATATATATATATATATATATAATAATTGATAAATTAGCATCACGTCTCAAGGCTTGAATATGACAAAAAATTTCAATAAATTGAAATAAATTTATCACAATTTTATATAGACAAGACATTGTTAAGTATTAAGTTTTTTACACCAAGATTGTGATTACATCAAAACCTCGTTAAGACGATTTTTCAAGAAAGACTTAAGGGAGAAAGCATATTATGTGTATATAAAGACGATAAAGTATCTACTGCGTATTATGTTTTATGTTCAAAATTTTGGTATTATTAAATTAGACATTTATAAATACTTCGTTGTGTAATTGTGATTATATTATTTGAAATAATCACTTTTTTTGCTTTGATGAAGATATTTTGATGCATTTAGCAGTAATTGCAAAATTTTCAACAAACATATTCAATTTTTGTTTGAGTTGCCACAGACCACGGTTTAGACTAGTTAGTCCAGCGGTTTCCAACCTTTTTTTCCTTGCGCCCCCCTTTTGAAAGAAAAAAATATTGCGCCCCCCCCCTAATTTTTTTAACAATTTAATTTAAATATACTTAATTGAAATTATGATTTATTTAATCTCGTACCAAATAATGCACAATATACATACATACAAAAATAAACATACAAAAATATACATACAAAAATATACATACAAACATAACTATGGATTATAGGAAAAAAATAATTTTAAATTTAATAAAAACAAATGATATAATATTTCACACAATATTAAAAAATTAATGCGACGGGGTTGAGCTTGTTTTTCAGCACAAATTTTCTCAAACCGCGGCTCCATTGTAGAAATCGCTGTTCTCAGTTACTTTTCTATCACTAAACGAGATCGGTACTTTGTTTTTAATACTGCTACTGCAGAAAAACCAGTTTCACATAAGTAGGATGTCACAAATGGTAATAAAATTCCTAAGGCTTTATTTGTCAAAGTTGGAAAATCGTCCTTTACTTGTAACCAAAACTTAACAATATTCTTTTCGTCCTGAAACATCTGCTTCAATGTGCTATCACTAGATAAATCAATTATCATTTCCTGCTCTGCCGTTGGAAGTCCAAAATTATCATATTTATCAATAACAAATGGATTTCTAATCCATTCGTATTTGGACATATCTAGATCTTTGAAGTAATGCGCAAATTGGTTCCTTAAACTAGTCATATGATTGATAATAAGATCTTTACTTGCTTCTATTTCATCATCATTAACACATGTAGTTTTAAAAGAAGGAAACATATCAAAGTTATTACTTTTCATACTAGCTATCCACAGCTCTATTTTTTTCATAAACGCCGTAATCTTGTCCTTTTGAACAAAAGCATGAATTTGAGTTTCTTGCATTGATTTATTTAAATCACTTAGTCTTTTAAAAATGTCAACTAGATACGCAAATTTTGCGAGAAACTTCGTGTCATAAAATATGTCTGCTTCATCTCTTTTATTATCAGCAAGAAAAATGGCAATTTCTTTTTTGAGCTCAAACACCCTTTGAAGTACTTTAGCACGAGAAAGCCAACGTGCTTCACAATAATAAAGTAGTGCTTTGTATTCTGAGCCCATGTCATCACACAATTTTCCAAAAAGCCTTTCTCTTAATGGACTATTTTTGATAAAATTAACAACTTTTATTATAATTTCAAATACTTCAAGTAATTCTTCACCCATATTTCTTGCAACAAGAGATTGCCTATGAATCATGCAATGCGTCCAAACTGCACGAGGAGCCACTTTTCGAACTAGGGCCTGCAGACCAGCATTTTTTCCTGCCATAGATGGAGCTCCATCAGTGCACAGTCCAACACAGTTCTCCCATAAAATACCATTTTCAATAAAAAAGTTATCAATCATATTAAAAATTTCACTCGCCGTAGCTTTGCCTTCAATTGCCTTACAGAATAACAACTCTTCTCTAATATCATTTTCCATAACATATCTTATATATGTTATTAAGTGTGCATCCTTAGCAACATCGGTAGCCTCATCTACTTGCAACGCGAAAGAAGATAATTTAATTTTTTCTGTCAACTGATCGCAAAGATCATCAGATATATCTGATATCCGTCTTCCCACCGTATTATCTGCCAGCGGAATGCTTTTAATTTGATCAGCATGTGATTCACCAAACATCGTAGCTATTATGTCAATAGCTGCTGGTAGTTTCTCCTATTGAATGGGGTTTTTTGCATTTAGCAATTCTATACGAAACTTTGTATGACGCAAGTAACGCTTTTTGTGATACAGACAAAGCTTTTGAAAACGATTCTTTCTGTTTATTTAAGTTATCTAATTTTCTTTGGAAAAATTCTTTTGTTTTGCCAACATGATCGGCGTGCACTTTTTCCAGATGTCGTTTTAATTTACTTGGTTTCATGCTATCTGAGGCCAAAGTATTCATACACAGCAAACACATTGGTCGTTCTTGACCATTAATGATCTTATACGTAAATCCCAATGATAAGTACATTGGATCATATTTTCTATGTTTAGTTTTACTATTTTGTGAAGAAACATTTCCATTATTTTCACCACCCTCTTCTTCTGCTTCATTAAATTTTCTTTTCAACCCAGTCACGTATTTATCCATTACAAACGGTTTTTATAACAAATCAAAGAAAATCACTTTTTCACTACTTTTCACAATAATTCCTGGCTAATAATGTGCTAAAACTAAAGCTATAAATTTTAACTCAATAATAATTTAGAAATGATTTTTTCTATATATCAACGCGTGTATCTCCAGCACAACTAATGAACTAATTCGATTTATAGATAACAGAATAAAAAGGATGCATTTGTTTATTTACTTAAGTTAGTCTCGAGTAAGCACGTGAATATTCGATATGATCCGAGTGTTTATCTTTTGTTTATAGGCCTACAGCTCACTCAACTACAAACGCAAAAACGAAATATTTTGAATGCACCAAAAGTATAGTATATTCATGCTTTTACATTTGTCCTGACAAAATTGCAGCGAAAATTGTAGATAACTTGCATACATTTTGCTGATTTGTTTTTGACACTTACTCAGCATTTAACAACCATATTTTTGAAAGAGCTTCGCGCCCCCCCTGGGACGGCACCGCGCCCCACCAGGGGGGCGCGCCCCACAGGTTGGAAATCGCTGAGTTAGTCTTTCAGTCATCATGAATTGTTTCTATCTTTGAAGTATTGGATTTATTTGAATGTAAAGTGTCTCGTGGTTTATTTAAGTTGTAACATTTTGGAAAATGTCATCAGATGGATCAATTTTTTTAGTTTTCTGACAGTATATAATGTCATTGCAATTTTGAAAACAAGCTATTCAGATATTTGAAGCATTAAAATCAGTGAGCTATAAGTCTTCAGCAATTTTAGGAGCTTTTTCGTATATTTTGGGGGCACTTTTGAAGTTAATGTTTGGTGAAGTCACTAAAATTTACTAAAAAAATTTCTACATTTGGCTTTTTTCTCAAACAATCTGTAAATTTCTCTTTTATTCTTAATTTTTGTAAAATTAACATAGAAATTAGTAAATTAACAGCAAAATTTTTCTACATTCACTATTTTCTCTTCCAATTTATAAATTTCTTTTTTTTCTCAATTTTTGTAAAATGTTGGAAATTGGTAATTTATAGTAACAAAGTTTTTGATGACTTTATTAAAAACTTTCAATTTTTTCTATTGAATGGCCAGTACCTTTCATTTAGGCTTATTAAACGTGATGACAAATCGTATTAAGTGCTAAGAAATCCATAAAAACATAACAAAGTCCTGGAAAGAGCGTAAAGAAGCGTATTATGCGGGAAATAAAACATAATCGTCTTAACGGGATTCTATTTGGGAAATCTATTAGAAAACTGCCTTATATTATTTCATTATTAAGAATATAAAAATAATTTATTGTTTATACAGTAATACCTTGCGCTGATTTTGTTTATAAAAAAAGAGCGTGAAGCGAAACAGCGCTAAACGGGGTTTAGGGGAACATTAACAGAAAATTGGTTATGTATTAGATTTTTAATAACTGTACTTATTTTTAATATAGTTAATACCAGACGTTTATACACCTAAAAATAGAAATAATATAAATGAATATATTCATAAAAGTTTAATTTAGTCTGTGGAGTGTTTCTAATTTTTTTGCCTTTTTGTTAAAAAAGCATTTAATGTGTTTTTGAAGCATCTGTAATACCTCAATTTATTTGCGTTTGAATTTGTGTCGAAATTTGGAATAATTTTCACCAAATTAGTCCATAATTTTAATCGTGGTCACTATAGGACCATTGAAAATTTTATTTGCTCTGTTTTGAAATCACCTCAATCACCACCATCAACACTTTTCTCTTTTTAAAATTAAATACTTCACTAAACTAATGAAAGCTGTTTCTTGAATTATTTCTTGGACATTTTCCACATGTACCTCATCTAAACTTTTTTACCCATATTTTAGGAAATCCCCGGGTCGAAAAAAAATTCTTAGCGCACTTTTACTGCGGGGTATTACTGTATATCAAAAAATGTCTTACTTTATGTACTTTATTCTTTAGTTCGAATGTGTAATAATTAGTATTAATTAGAACCGAATTCAATCAAAGCTTAATAATTTGTGGTTATCGACACACTTTGATATTGTATACATTCTGTGAAAAGATTGATATTGCCAATAAGAATATAATAATTAAATAATAATAATAAATATTTTTTATAATCAAAAATAATATCGTAAGCAATTCTAAAATTTAAAAAAATCGGGCTTTATATAATATATACATACTATATATATTGAGCAATTTGTAGTTATAATAAAATTATGTATTTTATTACTATTGTTCCAAACAAATCTAACGACTGAATTGTTTTTGCGAGCGCGATATTTGTGATCATCCATATCTAATTATGTAATTAATTTTTTATTTATTTGGAACAATGAGATTAATTATAATTGATAATTAATAAACTTCCATATTGTTATATTATGTGTTTAACCAATTTTTAGGACGAAACTTTTGCTGTCGAAATATTATCATTAACCGATATGAGTTAACCATGTTTATTTTTCATAATTATATATTAAAATAAAATAAAATAAATGCATTTTATAAGAATACTTGTTTTATTTAAAAAAAATATTGCAGTGATAAGTAAACAGGGAGAGACTCAGGGGAGTGTGATGCAAATAAATTTTAATTACTAAATTTTCAATTAACATTATTTATTTATTAAGTATTTTAGACATAGTATATCATATTACTTAATATTATTAGTGCTCCTTTTGGAGGCAGGTTCAACATGTGACGCATGCATTCTTAATATCATATTTATATATGAAATATATAGCACCAAATTTGTCGAATCAAGAAAAAAGAATTAATATTTTTTTATTATAATTTATAAATTTTTATTTAATATTTATAATTTTTTATTTATACGTTTCGACACTTCATATGTGTCATCATTCAACCAGAACATACCAGAAAGAACAAAATACAAAAATAATGCAATTATTTCTCACCTTCCCGTAGGGTGGGTTATTGTAATCATCGAAAATGAAAAAATTTGAATATCTTTACGTTTCAAAGGTTTTTGAACATTTTGGCATACCTCAGGAAAAATCGATGTATGTGTGTGTGTGTGTGGATACAATTTTTCGTCGACGATTTCGGCCCGATTTGAATGGTTCAAAAATCATTCGATTCATATTGATAAGAAGACGTGCTGATTAGTTTTTGGCAAAGGCAAGTCCAGCCGTTCCGGAGATAAAAAGCAAAGAGTGCAGAAAATAGAAATTAAGTTTTTGAGAGAACGGAGCATCCGATTTGAATGATTCAAAAAGCATTTTACTTGTTATGACGTAAGGAAAAGTTGATTCATTTTTTGCAAAGGCTGGACCATCCGTTTCGGAGATCCAGTATACAAATTTTAAAAATCCAGTTTTTCATTATTGAATTTTGTTCTTAATTTTCAAAAATGCTCAAAAGAAGTGAAAGTTCTCAAAAAAAGATATTTTTCATCTAGAGTTTATAAAATTTTGTTCGAAAGAAATCAAAATTCTCAAACTAATCTATTTTTGCATTTTTGAGTTTTTAAAAACTTTAAAATGCGGTGCGGAAAGTTCCAGCAATTTGCCATAAGGCACGATGTCATGCACCACTAGTTTATTTTATATCGTTTAGGTTAATAATTTCGATAAAAAAAAAAATTTTTTGGTAAAAAATTGTTTCTTGTTTTTCCTGAACGATGACACACATAAGGTGTCGAAACGTTTAAATTAAAGAATTGTGAACATGAATTCATTTTTTCAATTAGACAAATTGGTTGCTATATAAATAATAAATATAAGTCGATAAAATAAAAATAATTAAATACAAAAAGGATTCTTAAACAGACATCCATCTACTTATTAAAATACAATTGAATCACTATTTTTTTTTATTTTTATTTTAATTTAACTTTGCAATTACTTTATTGTTTATTTTATTAGTGAGTTTGAGCTTTCTAAATAATTTGTGTAGTTATCAACAGAGAAAGAGTTCAAACTTGTTTATTTATGGAGTTTGTATCAAATTATTTTACACATAATTATATATCACTTTAATGATTGAATGGATGCCTGCTTAAGAAACATTTTTGTTATTAATTATAAAACTTTCACCATTTGAAATATATATATATATATATATATATATATATATATGTCTGTATATTTATACAGTAATATGTTTTCAATTTCTAATTCAAATATATTATTTCGATAACCTAAATGGCATATATAATACAAATTCAAATCTACTTTGTCATATTTTCAAGCCGATATTTGTTCTTTATCAAATTCTAAAACTCTATAATAAAAACATTATTTATAAATAAATTATATTAATCCTAGAATAATGAATAGATTTGCACAACTCCTGTTGAATAAAATAATTGTGTTTAATGCACAAATTTATTCAAAATCGTGGACAAAAAATTACAAATGAAGGAATAATTATAATAGAAAAATAGAATGCTTTTTTGATAACTTATTACAATTTCTAAAATAAAAGCTTTGGAATGATATAAATTTAAATTTATATATTAAAATTTTTTTTAATCTTCATGTTTAAACCTGGTAAATCCATTTCCCAGGACCAAAAACTACGAAACAAAATCGTTTTAAACATGATTTTGTTTAAAAAAATATTAACGCAAAGTTGTTTGTTTGATATAATAACTTCCATAAATATAATTTTAATATTATTGTAATCGTACTAGTGTATAGCAACAAGAAGGTTTCATAATTTAATGGGTAATTCTGCCGTAACAAAGCTCATAAAATAGCATTGTCATGGCAAAGCTCTCTTATGCTTGTTCTTGGCATTGAAAATTATGAAGATCCCCTTTAATGAAACCCCAGCATTAAGCGGGGTATTACTGTATAATCATGGTTAAGTAAATTTCGAGATCCTATTACTAAAGTCTATTTTTTACAGTACTTGGTATATGTGATAATATGCAATAAAGATAAAATTATTTAAAATTTTACACTAATTAATTTTACATCTACACGCATCCTGGCTATCTTGCAAAATTTATATAAAAACTTATCTTTTATCTTCACCACACCAA